TATCTGTTTATAAACTACAGCCAGCTGTTTATAAACTACAGTTATCTGTTTATAAACTACAGCCAGCTGTTTATAAACTACAGTTATCTGTTTATAAACAACTACCTGTTTTATAAACAACTACCTGTTTATAAACTACCTGTTTATAAACTAGTTATCTGTTTATAAACAACTACCTGTTTATAAACTACAGTTATCTGTTTATAAACTAGTTATCTGTTTATAAACAACTACATGTCGTTTATAAACAACTACCTGTTTATAAACAACAGCTGGCTGTCGTTTTATCAGCGTTAAAAGCAATACGAGTAAAAACCAAGAGGGCTGCTGCTGAAAGGGCTGAGTGTCCACATTTAACACAAACTGACGTCACTCAAACCTTTTTAAGAACATATTAGTTTAAAATAACTGGTGGGTTCATAAAAAGCTGCGTTTAGCTGCTGAATCTTTTTTTCCTGCTTTGTAAACAGAATATTTACTGATTTAACTTCTAATTGTTGTTAAATGGGCTAAACAGTTTTTTAATTTTGTTAAAAAGTTGACCAAATAAAAGAAAACGGTGGATCTCCATCAGACATTGGAGGCTTAGAAACTTACATCATTTCCTATTTAATCATTTTAAATCAGTCATCCAACTGATTCGTCTACCTCTGATTCAAATAAAACAAACACAAACGTGCTAAAAATAAACCGTGAGCATCGGTTGTTTCCGGAGGATAAGAGTTAACCTCTCGTTCTTCTTCGTCTGACTTGAGTTTGAAACATTTTACAGAAAACACAGATCAACATCTGTTTTTGTTTGATTCAGCTGCTGAAGACTGAGCTGCAGTCGGCGTGTACTCAGGCAGGTCGGGTTTTTGTTTGAAACAAAAGATAAAAATAAAACACTTGAACTTTTTTATCTTTTTTTTAATTTTATTTTTTGTTTAATGAACCCAAAAGAAAATTTGAATAATGAACCGATATTTTCTAAGTTTGTGCACTTAAACATGGAAAAAACACGGACAGCAAGCGCTCACTTTCCAATATGATGACCTCATAATGAATAACATGTCCAAAAACCACTTCAGCTAACTTCCTGGTTGGGTGGGCGGGGCCAAAGGGACTCTCAGTCAGGTCACCTGTCTCAAAAAATAAATCAAGTAAATGGAAAGTGAGCGCTCGTTACATTTATCTTTTTTCATTTTTGTTAAGTGCACAAAATCAAAATTTGAATAACTGTTTGTTATCCAAATTTTATATTTGGATAAAACAAATCTAATTTTTATTTACTTTTTTCTTTAAAAAAAAACACAAACTGTCTGAAAGTACACGGACAGCAAAGCCTCGCAGTCTGGTCACTTCAGTTTAAAAGATTTCTGTGAGAATTTTCTCTGAATAGAGTCGATGCGGACGTCTCCGACCCGTTTCTACAATAATGAAACGACACAGGAGCTCCTCTGCTTGGACAGAAACAAACGGTTCTCCTGCAGATTAAATCGTAAACCTCGGTACGAAGACAGAAACTCGGGCTCCTTCAGTCTCTGATCTGAGACGACAGAAAATCGACACATTTTCACAGTTTGAGCCTCTGGCTGCGTTTAGTGGTGCGTTCACTGACTCGCACAGAAAAACAGACGTTTGAGCATCAAATAGATTGATCGTTTCAAAGCTCAGGTTTTATTCCTTTCAAGTATTTCTGGAACGTTTTAGATCAAAACCCCGGAACATGAATAAATGAGGCTCCGCCCACTGAACGGCACCAAGCGTCCCTCAGCCCCGGTACGAAAACTGCTCGTATTTAAACATTTGAACCTCCAAAGTTTGAGCTCATTGTTTGTTTACGTTAAAGTCCAGTCAGATCAGTGTGTGTGTGTGTGTGTGTGTGTGTGTGTGTGTGTGTGTGTGTGTGTGTGAGATCCTCGATGGCAGCAATAAGTCTCTGTGCCTCAGACTCTTCCTCTCCTGTGATGTAAAATTTTTCAGCCTCTTCAGAAACTCGTTCTGAAAATCTGAACTGTTTAATGCGAAGCTGCGTCGATGCTAAACAAGTGTTTTATAGAATTATTTGTTTATTTTTATTAGGTTTTTTTGTATCTAATATCTCGTCTGGTCTTTAAACGTGCCGGCTTCATGTTCAGCAGTTAGAATAAAACACAATATAACCCCAGAGGCACTCGAATGTTTTATTGTCTTTGTTTAAAATTAAAAAAAAAAAACGGATCAAAGGAAACGAAATAAACAAATAAAAATAAAATAAAGGAGCCAAACTGAAACATTTAGTTTTTGTTTTGCTAAATTAAATTTTCAGGCTGGTATGAAAAGGTTTGCAGCAAGTTTTTGGTCAGCTGTTCAGCTTCTGGTGTTTGTGCCATCAGTTAGTTTTATTTTGAAAGTTTTGCCACCAGCTTCCTGTCCTGTCATGTCTGTGCCTTCTGTTTGAGTTTTTCTTTAAGTTCAGGTGAATTTCTCTTTGAGCAGAGCTGCTTCAACAGGATCCAGTTTAACCCATCTGTAAGGACTTTTAATTTGAAAGTCTGGTCCTGGAGCTCCATTTGTGCCAAAATATATTTATTAAAGAATCTTTTTTCTTAGTTTAAACTCCGAAACGAACAAAAAACACCTTTAATCAGATTCTGAACAACTGTTAGTCTGGATCCTCTGGTCTGGACCCTGTGGTCTGGACCCTGTGGTCTGACTCTGGATCCTGTGGTCTGACTCTGGATCCTGTGGTCTGGACCCTGTGGTCTGATTCTGGACCCTGTGGTCTGACTCTGGATCCTGTGGTCTGGACCCTGTGGTCTGACTCTGGATCCTGTGGTCTGACTCTGGATCCTGTGGTCTGAACCCTGTGGTCTGACTCTGGACCCTGTGGTCTGACTCTGGACCCTGTGGTCTGACTCTGGACCCTGTGGTCTGGACCCTGTGGTCTGGACCCTGTGGTCTGACTCTGGACCCTGTGGTCTGACTCTGGACCCTGTGGTCTAACTCTGGACCCTGTGGTCTGACTCTGGACCCTGTGGTCTGGATCCTGTGGTCTGGACCCTGTGGTCTGGACCCTGTGGTCTGACTCTGGATCCTGTGGTCTGACTCTGGATCCTGTGGTCTGGACCCTGTGGTCTGGATCCTGTGGTCTGGACCCTGTGGTCTGACTCTGGATCCTGTGGTCTGGACCCTGTGGTCTGACTCTGGATCCTGTGGTCTGGATCCTGTGGTCTGACTCTGGACCCTGTGGTCTGGACCCTGTGGTCTGGACCCTGTGGTCTGGTTTCTGCAACTCTGCCTCTGAGTGAAGTGTTTTTGTCGGCCTCTGGTGGCGGCTGCAGAGCGGTGCAGCTCGACTCCAGTCTTGACAGGAAGTTAAATCAGTTTGTGCTCACAATAATCTGAACTTCAAAATAATCTGAACTTCAAAATAATCTGAACTTCAAAATAATCTGAGAGACTTTAATCCCAGAGGAAGAAAATTTAGGATTAAAATGAAAGGAGGAGAATCTTCCTGCAGACATGAGGAGGAGCTCTTCTGGATCTGTTCTTCCATTTAAAGAACAAGTTGAAGAGTTTTATTGTGATGAACACTTTAGGTCATTTTATTTTGAAAAACAGATTATTTAGAGGATTTTAGACTAAAGAACCTTCTTTAGGTACTTTTTTCTCCCAAAAAATCCAAGAATTAAAATG